TGAGCACACAGCATGCACACGAGGAGCACAGTAAGGACACGGCATGCACACGAGGAGCACAGTGAGCACAGATGATGCACACGAGGAGCACAGTGAGCACACATGATGCACACGAGGAGCACAGTGAGCACACGGCATGCACATGAGCAGCACAGTGAGCACACATGATGCACACTAGGAGCACAGTGAGCACACATGATGCACACGAGGAGCACAGTGAGCACACATGATGCACACGAGGAGCACAGTGAGCACACATGATGCACTCGAGGAGCACAGTGAGCACACGGCATGCACACGAGGAGCACAGTGAGCACACATGATGCACTCGAGGAGCACAGTGAGCACACATGATGCACACGAGGAGCACAGTGAGCACACATGATGCACACGAGGAGCACAGTGAGCACACATGATGCACACGAGGAGCACAGTGAGCACACATGATGCACACGAGGAGCAGAGTGAGCACACATGATGCACATGAGGAGCACAGTGAGCACACATGCACATGAGGAGCACAGTGAGCACACATGATGCACACGAGGAGCACAGTGAGCACACGGCATGCACACGAGCACAGTGAGCACACATGATGCACACGAGGAGCACAGTGAGCACACATGATGCGCACGAGCACAGTGAGCACACAGCATGCACACGAGCACAGTGAGCACACATGATGCACACGAGGAGCACAGTGAGCACACATGATGCACACGAGCACAGTGAGCACACGGCATGCACACGAGCACTGTGAGCACACATGATGCACACGAGCACAGTGAGCACACGGCATGCACACGAGGAGCACAGTAAGGACACGGCATGCACACAAGGAGCACAGTGAGCACAGATGATGCACACGAGGAGCACAGTGAGCACAGATGATGCACACGAGCAGCACAGTGAGCACACATGATGCACAGGAGGAGCACAGTGAGCACACATGATGCACACGAGGAGCACAGTGAGCACACAGCATGCACACGAGGAGCGCAGTGAGCACACATGATGCACACGAGGAGCACAGTGAGCACACATGATGCACACGAGGAGCAGAGTGAGCACACGGCATGCACACGAGGAGCACAGTGAGCACACATGATGCACACGAGGAGCACAGTGAGCACACATGATGCACACCAGGAGCACAGTGAGCACACATGATGCACACGAGCAGCACAGTGAGCACACATGATGCACACGAGGAGCACAGTGAGCACACATGATGCACACGAGGAGCACAGTGAGCACACATGATGCACACGAGGAGCACAGTGAGCACACATGATGCACACGAGCACAGTGAGCACACAGCATGCACACGAGCACAGTGAGCACACATGATGCACACGAGCAGCACAGTGAGCACACATGATGCACACGAGGAGCACAGTGAGCACACATGATGCACACGAGGAGCACAGTGAGCACACATGATGCACACGAGGAGCACAGTGAGCACACATGATGCACACGAGGAGCACAGTGAGCACACATGATGCACACGAGGAGCACAGTGAGCACACATGATGCACACGAGCACAGTGAGCACACATGATGCACACGAGCAGCACAGTGAGCACACATGATGCACACGAGGAGCACAGTGAGCACACATGATGCACACGAGGAGCACAGTGAGCACACATGATGCACACGAGGAGCACAGTGAGCACACGGCAGGCACACGAGGAGCAGAGTGAGCACACATGATGCACACCAGGAGCACAGTGAGCACACGGCATGCACACGAGCACAGTGAGCACACATGATGCACACGAGCAGCACAGTGAGCACACATGATGCACACGAGGAGCACAGTGAGCACACATGATGCACACGAGGACCACAGTGAGCACACATGATGCACACGAGGAGCACGGTGAGCACACATGATGCACACTAGGAGCACAGTGAGCACACATGATGCACACTAGGAGCACAGTGAGCACACATGATGCACACGAGGAGCACAGTGAGCACACGGCATGCACACGAGGAGCACAGTGAGCACACATGATGCACACGAGGAGCACAGTGAGCACACATGATGCACACGAGGAGCACAGTGAGCACACATGATGCACACGAGGAGCACAGTGAGCACACGGCATGCACACGAGGAGCACAGTGAGCACACATGATGCACACGAGGAGCACAGTGAGCACACATGATGCACACGAGGAGCACAGTGAGCACACATGATGCACACGAGGAGCACAGTGAGCACACATGATGCACACGAGGAGCACAGTGAGCACACATGATGCACACGAGGAGCACAGTGAGCACACAGCATGCACACGAGGAGCACAGTGAGCACACATGATGCACACGAGGAGCACAGTGAGCACACGGCATGCACACGAGCACAGTGAGCACACATGCACACGAGGAGCACAGTGAGCACACATGATGCACACGAGGAGCACAGTGAGCACACATGATGCACACGAGGAGCACAGTGAGCACACGGTATGCACACGAGGAGCACAGTGAGCACACATGCACACGAGGAGCACAGTGAGCACACATGATGCACACGAGCACAGTGAGCACACATGATGCACACGAGGAGCACAGTGAGCACACATGATGCACACGAGGAGCACAGTGAGCACACGGCATGCACACGAGGAGCACAGTGAGCACACATGATGCACACGAGGAGCACAGTGAGCACACATGATGCACACGAGGAGCACAGTGAGCACACGGCATGCACACGAGGAGCGCAGTGAGCACACGGCATGCACACGAGCACAGTGAGCACACATGATGCACACGAGGAGCACAGTGACCACACATGATGCACACGAGGAGCACAGTAAGGATACGGCATGCACACGAGGAGCACAGTGAGCACACATGATGCACACGAGGAGCACAGTGAGCACACATGATGCACACGAGGAGCACAGTGAGCACACAGCATGCACACGAGCAGCACAGTGAGCACACGGCATGCACACGAGCAGCACAGTGAGCATACATGATGCACACGAGGAGCACAGTGAGCACACATGATGTACATGAGGAGCACAGTGAGCACACGGCATGCACACGAGCAGCACAGTGAGCACACGGCATGCACACGAGGAGCACAGTGAGCACACGGCATGCACACGAGGAGCACAGTGAGCACAGATGATGCACACGAGCAGCACAGTGAGCACACATGATGTACACGAGGAGCACAGTGAGCACACGGCATGCACACGAGGAGCAGAGTGAGCACACGGCATGCACACGAGGAGCACACACATGATGCACACATGAACACAATGAGCGTACATGATGCACATGAGCACGATACTGAGGGCAGGTGCACGCAGTCACTCTTCTACCAGCTATTGCTTAGGTTGGATTTTGGTTTGGATTTCATTTAAATTAAGTTTGAGGCTAATTTTCCTACTGCGTTTTGTTTGAGGGTTAGTATCTGTGTTATCAGGATGCTCCTGAGATGACCTCTGAATACTCACACATCTCCAAAGTCCTGATCCTTCTCTCATACTTACCATTAGAGTATATCTATTTTAGGCTAAAAATCCTCTCAGAAGTTTATTTTTCCTATGTGAGGACCCTCATGGACAGTAGGCAAATGCCCTATCACTAACATGCCCTGCCCTATGTTTCAGTTTTTTTTAAGTAAAACACAGGTAGGGTTTTTAGAAACTGTATGTTGTCCTTTTTCCAAGAGCACCTGTATGTTTATCACTTTTTCCCAGCACGGATGTATTCTGAGGTTCCTCTCTGCCCCTGGGAGAGGCTTCAGCCTAGGCTTGCACGGCGGGGAAAGCCCTCTCCCTGGTGCATCTGTGCACCCTGCCCTTCTCCCCTCTCGATGGAGATACTGAGTTCTAACTTCCGTCCACATCACGCTGCGCCTAGACGTTCCGTGCTCCTCCTGCTCACTGGTCTGGGATTTCTCCTCCACAACTTTCCAGCGGTGTTAGACACCTTCCTGTCACTTGGATGGTGCTCAGTAAGGAGTTGTGCTTCAGTACTCAAAGTGGCCTCGCACGCCCTGGCCTTGTGTCACAGCTGAGTGGCTCTCCAAGGGCCTTCACATCCTCAGGTCATCAAAGAAGCTCCAGCTCCAGGGCCTGTGTCTGCCTGGGGTCTCCTAGAGAGCACAAGCACAAAGCAGCCCTTGTGCTCTGGGGAGCCCACAAGAAGAAAAGAATATTAGAATGCGCCTTCATTCTGCTGTCTTGTAGAAGTGATAGATTTTGTGTCAGCCACACCTTCTGCACACGCTGTAACTTTGGGGTGTTTGCACAGACTAACATAACCGAATTTTCTGAAGCCCTGTAGAGGCTCCCAGCCTCCTTAAGGCTCCAGCTTGCAGTGGCCCAGAGCATCTTCCATGCCCCCTCTCTAATGCTAGGACCCCCTTTTGGCAAGAAGTGGCCATGGGCCCCTCCCAGCTGCTGTCCCCCTGGGCAACTTGGGGACACCTAGAGGCACTAGAATCTAGGGTCACGTAAAGTCTCCTCACCTCCAGGGAAGGAGATCCCAGAACCACTCAGGAGGAAGTTGCGACAGAATTCTCCAAGGTTCTGGTGGATGAAATGCCAGCTAGTTTGCTAACCCTTGCCTTTTCCTGCATGACCTCACTGTGGCCCCTGTGGCATGAAGGTTTCCCTTTGTCCAAGGGCCTGCATGTTTATTGAGGAGCACCACATTCAGTGCTGTACAGTGGTAGCAAAGGTTTCTGCAGAGCTTGCAAAGCCTCTGGTTTGCCAGGTCCTGGCTGAGAGGGCCTGTGGGGTCTGCATAGCCTTTATGGGTTGCTTCGTAAAGACCAGTTGCTTATGGAGGGATTTGCCATGGCCACAGTTGGCCCTGCTTCTCTGCTGAAATGGCCCTGGACCACACTAGGACACTGTCAGCTCTGGCGGTCTCCTCCTGTTGGTGGTGAGTGGGTGCAGCAGTCCATGCCCCTTTATCTGACTAAGGTCCAAACCTCTGTGCCCTCTCTGTCTTGCAGATGGACATATGTGGCAGGAGTCGGAGACAGGTGCTTCCGGAAGCCCGGGACACCGCTGTGAAGAGGACCCAGCCACGCCCCTTGTCCAGGGTAAATGGCTGGTCTCGGCCTCTCCACATATTCCAGGCAGTCTCCTGTACCATGTACCTGCTCTTGTCATTCATCACCTTTGGGATCTTCATCCCCTTCCTGCCAGATGGTGGGAAATATGCTGCCTACACTGTATCCTTTCTCCTCGTGGGATGTCAATGGGCTGCCTGGCGCCAGAGGGGGTCGGGGCTTCTGAAGGTCTCTCAAGTGAGCAGGCCTGAACCTGCCATGCCTGTTTCCTGGGTTTTGCTCCCAACTGGCACCTACCTCTGTGTTAGTATCAGTCCTGTGTCCCATGTGATTCATACTTGGGCCTGAAAGATGGGAATCGCTGCTGTAGCAAGGAGCGGTGTAGAAGGCCCTGGGGAGTGGCCCCAGCAGTGAGGAGGGAGGGGTGTGGAATGAGGTAGTAGGAAGGCACTGTGCATGGTGACTCCAGAAAAGACTTCAGTCTCCTCAGCCTTTCCCACAGCCTGCCACAGGATGTCCTGTGCAAAACCAAGTTCAGTAAGAAAAGAATTCTGAAGAATGATGTGTGTTTAACTGGCCTTCTGATAAGTAGTTAGGAAGCTGCACCAAAAGGCTGTGGGAGTCATGCATCTGTGCTCAGCTCTCTGTGGTGTGCGTCACCCCTCAACAGGCCTCCCTCCCCCCCGCACTGATGACAGTGACCTCGCGCCCTCCTCGCCTCCCCTCACCACGGACTGCAGGCCCCGTGACTACAGGAACCAAAGCAAGGATGGCCCTCGGCCACAGCCAGCAACCTTGGCTGCTGCAGCCACTGGAGGGCACCTGTGTCTTTTGGTGCCCACCAGGTCACAGGTGGAACTGGAGTGAGCAAGGAAGGTCAAGGTCCAGGCTGGATCAGGGTCTGGGGCTACTGTGGTGAGGACTTGGGGTAGAAGCCAGGGGACAGAACAAAGGGCCTGGTGTATGGGCAGCCCGTGAGGTCCTTTGATGGTGTGACTCAGTATCACTACCGAGAGGGCGGCTCTGAAAGTCATCCAGTGAGGTCCCTCCATAGCTCTACAGTTCCTAGAGACCTCTGCCAATCCTACGTTGTTCTGGGGACCACATGAGTATCATAGCATTGCCTGAGTGTCTTTAGTAACTGATGGGGCTCTGAGTTCCCAGCTCAGCCTCAGATTTTGCCCTGGAGGCCATGAGTCCGGATTGTATGGGGACTGTGGGGAGGCTGGCTGGGCTCCTCTGCCTCCCCTTTTCCTGTGGAAACAGGATGAGGAAGAGGTCACCAGTGCCAGAGGCCATGGCAGGCGTGTCCTGGCCTGGCGCCCTTGTGCTGTTTGTTTACTAAACACAGATTGTTGCTATGGAGTGTTCCTGCCAGCTGGGTTCTCACAGGCTCCCAGACAGAAACTTCCAGAGAGAGGCCCTGTGGTAAGGGAGGGGAGGCCTCACCCTGCCTGTCTCTTTCGCCTTTTATTTCCACTTGACCTAAGACACCACAGAGGTAGGGCTTGTGAAGGCAGAGATGGAGACAGGGATTTTCTGAAGGGTGGCATTGGAGTGTGTGGCAGAGGAGTAGCTAGCCAGGTCACTTTGGATTAAATGTAGGTCACCAGTACTGTGTGGGTAACACTGAAAGCGAAATCTTGTCCCTAGCAAAGCAGGGCACGTGAGGGCATGGTAAAAGATGTGCTGTGACTTGGTCCTTCAGTGAGAGCCGTTTGTGATCCTGGGTGGAGACATTCAGGGTGTCTGGTTCTGAGAAGGCCAGGGCAGGGTTTGCCTGCCAGTCCAGGCCCAAGAGAAGCTCATCACATCCATCCTGCAGATGGGCCTTGCTGTCCCCGCTGCCCAGAAGCAGCAGAGGTCTTATGTAAGCAGTGTGTAATGTTGGTGATCTGGGGTGGCTGTGAGAACCTCACAGGCTGTGGTGGCAGAGCTCCAGGTGTTTTTTGGCAACCTCAGCTCACCTGCTGCCTGGAGGTTCTGAGATAGTCTAGTCCTGGGGAGGAAGGACCTGACCATGGCTTTGTGCTGTGTCTATCCTCTGCCCTCACCGCCTAAGCCCCAGGAACCACGCAGACAGGGAGGGCGTGGGGGCTGCTGGGCCAATCCCTGTGCCTACCACCCATCGGTGGTCCCACCCACTCACATCCTGTGGATCCCAGCAGCTCTCTGTGCTCAGCAAGTGACCCAGGTCCCACCCAGCTTGTGGGCTATGGGAGGGGCTTTAGCACCAGTCTCTCCATGCCCCAACGGTGACATCTCCCTACACTGTCCAAACCCTCTTGCCACATGCCTGCCCACGCCAGGCCTGCATACTAGTTCTGGGCCTTTTGGTGTCTGGCTCACGTCCACCTCTGCCATCCCTTCTGTGCATCCTGAGCCTTGTTCTCAGCCCTGCTCATGCCAGGTGACAGGATGTGTCCTGGGTCTGGGTCTGGAGCAGAATCAGCCCCTCACTCGACTGCCTTGCATCACGGCAGTGCTTGCGGGACCCTCATCTGGGCAGGGCCTACATGTAGCTTTGTGACAGAGCTGATGGCTGCAGGCCAATACAGCACCCCTGATCTCTGAGAAGAAGCTTCTGCCAGGATCAGCCTTGTCGGGCCTGCTTTAACAATTCCTGCACAGCCACCCACAGGCACCCATGGTCTTTGTATTGCCTAGAAACAAGGCAATAGAAACATCCACCTTTAGACACAAGCTCTCACACAGGGTGTCACCCTGTTGACTCCCTCTAAAGATGTTGAACACTGCCCTACCCAGCCCTAAAGTCCCAGCAAGGAGAAGGAAGAGGCCCTGGCCTTGCATCCACTTATGTTTGGTTTTCTAGGATGATAGGAGAGTGTAGGGATCTGAGGGCTTTTACTGCCCTCAGTCCCAGTGGGAAGTGTCCTGCTTACCAGTGAACAGAGATCCTCTCCCAAAGCCACTTAGGCCCAGCTGCACAGAGCCCTGCCTGAAAGTCCTGAGAATCCTGAGAGAGATCCAGGGCCCTTTAGAGAGTCTGGGGTCTCTAGGAGATGAGATGATACACCTAGGCTGGCTTAGGTTTGGCCTTCCCTCCTACTCTCTGACAGATCCTTCTGTTTCTAGAGAATACACCTGTCCCTCATGCATCGGTTCATAGCATCTTCACAACTGCAAGGACAGATCAGAGCTCCCTGCTTGCATTTGAGCTCTGCCCACTCTGGATAGAAAGCCGTGGGGCTTTGGGGCATGGTTCCCTTTTTCTGTAGCCCCTTGCTGTGGGGACATGTGCCTACCATGGAGGGTGGGAATGTCCACAGATTGGTCCTAGAATGCAGCACATCGATCTTGTAGAGGCCCAAGGGGCTGTCCCTGGCCCCTGCTCCTGGACATTCTTCCTGGGAGGCCCTTCAACTCATGTGTGCCCTTAAAGACATGTCCATTTGAGTCATGTCCACCCCTCACCTCATGTCCACTTGAGTCACGCCCACCCTCAGATCAGGCCCACCAGCCGAGGGCTGTGTGCTCCTTGACACTCCAGGTGGTTGGCGGGTTGTTCCTGTTCCATCTCGTCGTCCACTTGATCACAATTACCGTTGATCCAGCTGACTCCAATGTCCGACTTAAGAAGAGTTACTCCCAGCCTGTGCCGACCTTCGACCGGTCCAAACACGCACATGTGATCCAGAACCAGTACTGCCACCTGTGTGAGGTCGCTGTGTGAGTGCCGCACGAGCTGGGTCAGGGCTGCGGGGTTTCAGCACAGGGTGGGAGGAGCCGCTCATCCCTGTTTAGTGCCATCCACTGAGCCTGCAGGGACTGAACTGGCACTGGTGCTGGGGCACCCTATAGACACGAATTTAAATCCTGACAGCCTCTTTGAGGCCACGTTCGGCCATCCACCCTGCAGCGTGAAGGGCTGGCCTGCAGGACAGTGAGCAGCTCCTTGGGCTAAAGGACTGTGGCTAGAATGGGCCTTGTCACTCTAAGAATTCTGTGTGCCTGCAGGCCAGGCCCTGGGGTAGGTGTAGCTATGCCTATCTTGGGCTTTCCCAAGGCTCCATGGTCCAGTCGGGGAGGAAGGTGATTTCCATGGGCATTTGGTGAGGTCGCAGATCTCTGAGGCCTAGAAAGGGTAAGGATGTCCTACACCTCAGGAGGGGACCCAAGCTGCCACTCAGCTCCTAGGAAGTGATTCGGCCCGCTGCCAGAATCCTCCTCCGGCCCTCAAGCTTGGCTGCAGGAAGCGGCCAGGTGGTCAGTGTCCACCTGCACTGTGCATCACCCGTGGGTCCTACTTTCTCCTCTAAGGAGTAGTTGTACCCAGGGCTGGCCTTGTCCTATCCCCACAGACTTCCAGTGCATACCTTGTACCCAGGTGTGGCCCTCAACCTCCTGTTTCTCACCAGGGATCCACTAAACTGACCCCCACCCGAGCTGAGCATGGGTACTCTTCACCTAAGCCTGGCTGGCACATGAAACTGACAGGTGGTTTCTGATTTCTCTCCAGGAGCAAGAAAGCCAAACACTGCAGTGCCTGCAACAAGTGCGTCTCTGGCTTTGATCACCACTGTAAATGGCTAAACAACTGTGTGGGCAGCAGGAACTACTGGTGAGAGCCCAACTGGGGGCTGCAGGGTCAAGGACGGGGCCCTAGAGGGGAATCAGTGAAGGCCTTGTGGACAGTAGGCGAGGGGGGCTATGGAGCAGGGGAATGGTCATTCTGGGGGTATGCCCTTGGCCTGGCATGGCAGAGCTCAGGGCCACTTCCACTGGTTCTGACAATTTGGTAGAGCCATCTTTCCATCCCATGACCACAGAGCCCATCACTGTGGACCCGGTCATGGACAGGAAGGAGCTAGCCTCTGTCTACAGGTGACAGACTGATTGAGGCTCTGAACTTGATGTCAAGGCACTTCCACCTCCTGACACTAAGGCCATCAACAAGAGTCATATCCAGATGCAGAAGCAGGGAGTGAGCTTCAGGCCCAACAGAGACCATGTCTGTGAACACAAGTCAGGGTCTCCTGCATTCTCAGGGTCCTGAGGTGTTTGTTAGCTCAGTGGGTGGTAAATATTGACAGGAAGAATGTATTAGGTACCTCTGCCAATCATACTGACTTGAAGAAGGCCGAGGCCTGTGGGTTATGAGCCTCCAGTGGCCATCCAAGAAGAGGGACCTGGGCCTGAGAGCGTCCAGTTGGCCTTTTGCATCCCTGCCACTCTACTCGACTTTGCGTAGTGTGGGCAGACTGACATGGTGTGCAGGTGATCCCACTGTGGTGATAGAGTAGGAACTGCCTGACTAGATGGGCCCGGGATGCCCAGCCCACCCCTACCCTGGAGAATAGCAACCAGCACAGTCTGAAGCGGCCATCCCTGCACTCCTTGGTGTATCTGGCTGGCTGCCTGGCTGGCCATGGAATGCCTGGCCATGGATGCATGCCTTTGCCAGTAGGCCAGACGCCTTTCTAGGAAGTCATGTTAGGGCAGGTGAGGGCATGGCCTTACCCACGAGCAGACAGACGGCGAGAAGAAAGTTAGTCATGGCCAGAGGGGAGAACAACTGATGGGTGTCGTTCACTCACAAGAGGTGGTCCTGAGCCTTGGCATCTGCACCAGATCTCCTTCTGTCTCTTCATTTGCCAGAAGCTGAGAAAGCAGGCAAAAGAGAGACAGAGAATGAGAAGAGAGGAGAGTGGGAAGAGAGGCAGAGGAGAGAGAGGATGGCATTTGGAATATAATTTGACTCCAAAAATTGACAATACAACAGAGGTCCCAGGACAGGATGTCAGGATTCTCAGCCCTAAGGGGCCTGCACAGGTCCTAGGGAGTGGCTGGTAGCCTTGGAGACTGTGGAGCAAAGTAAAAGCTACAAGGAGTCGGCAGGTACCTGAGGATACAGCAGAGGGACTAAAAACAGGGTTGTGGAGGCCTGAGGCAGACAGCTGGAATGTGAGAGGTCCAGTGTGGTAGGCTTTAGGCTCTGCCAACATGGGACCTGTCTTTCTCACTAGTTAGGAATGGAACGTCTGTCTAGATGTCATGACAGACAAGAGTGAGCTTAGATGTGAGGACTGCAGCTAGGATCCTCAGGAGCCAGTGGTGTCTGCTTGGGGAATGGAATGAATGGAAATGGTTAGAAAAAGGAAAGTCCTGATCCCGTACGCACACCCGCACCACACCGTCATTCTGTACAGCCTTGGTCCTGTAGGCACACTTATACTACCACACTGTGATTCTGTACAGCCTTGATCCTGTAGGCACACTTATACCACCACACTGTGATTCTGTACAGCCTTGGTCCTGGTCCTGTACGCACACCCACACCACACTGTGATTCTGTACAGCCTTGGTCCTGTATGCACACCCGCACCACACCGTGATTCTGTACAGCCTTGGTCCTGGTCCTGTACGCACACCCGCACCACACTGTGATTCTGTACAGCCTTGGTCCTGGTCCCGTACGCACACCCGCACCACACCGTGATTCTGTACAGCCTTGGTCCTGTACGCACACCCGCACCACACCGTGATTCTGTACAGCCTTGGTCCTGTACGCACACCCGCACCACACCGTGATTCTGTACAGCCTTGGTCCTGGTCCTGTAGGCACACCCGCACCACACCATGATTCTGTACAGCCTTGGTCCCGTACGCACACCCGCACCACACCGTGATTCTGTACAGCCTTGGTCCTGGTCCTGTAGGCACACCCACACCACACTGTGATTCTGTACAGCCTTGGTCCTGGTCCCGTACGCACACCCGCACCACACTGTGATTCTGTACAGCCTTGATCCTGTATGCACACCCGCACCACACCGTGATTCTGTACAGCCTTGGTCCAGGTCCTGTACGCACACCCGCACCACACCGTGATTCTGTACAGCCTTGGTCCTGGTCCTGTACGCACACCCACACCACACCGTGATTCTGTACAGCCTTGGTCCTGGTCCTGTACGCACACCCGCACCAGACCATGATTCTGTACAGCCTTGGTCCTGTACGCACACCTGCACCACACCGTGATTCTGTACAGCCTTGGTCCTGTACGCACACCCGCACCACACCGTGATTCTGTACAGCCTTGGTCCTGTACACACACCCGCACCACACCGTGATTCTGTACAGCCTTGGTCCTGGTCCTGTACGCACACCCGCACCACACCGTGATTCTGTACAGCCTTGGTCCTGGTCCTGTACGCACACCCGCACCACACCGTGATTCTGTACAGCCTTGGTCCTGGTCCTGTACGCACACCCGCACCACACCGTGATTCTGTACAGCCTTGGTCCTGGTCCTGTACGCACACCTGCACCACACCGTGATTCTGTACAGCCTTGGTCCTGTACGCACACCCGCACCACACCGTGATTCTGTACAGCCTTGGTCCTGGTCCTGTACGCACACCCGCACCACACCGTGATTCTGTACAGCCTTGGTCCTGTACACACACCCGCACCACACCGTGATTCTGTACAGCCTTGGTCCTGGTCCTGTACACACACCTGCACCACACCGTGATTCTGTACAGCCTTGGTCCTGGTCCTGTACGCACACCCGCACCACACCGTGATTCTGTACAGCCTTGGTCCTGTATGCACACCCGCACCACACCGTGATTCTGTACAGCCTTGGTCCTGGTTCTGTACGCACACCCGCACCACACCGTGATTCTGTACAGCCTTGGTCCTGGTCCTGTACGCACACCTGCACCACACCGTGATTCTGTACAGCCTTGGTCCTGTACGCACACCCGCACCACACCGTGATTCTGTACAGCCTTGGTCCTGTACGCACACCCGCACCACACCGTGATTCTGTACAGCCTTGGTCCTGTACACACACCCGCACCACACCGTGATTCTGTACAGCCTTGGTCCTGGTCCTGTACGCACACCCGCACCACACTGTGATTCTGTACAGCCTTGGTCCTGGTCCTGTACGCACACCCGCACCACACTGTGATTCTGTACAGCCTTGGTCCTGTACGCACACCCGCACCACACTGTGATTCTGTACAGCCTTGGTCCTGTACGCACACCCGCACCACACTGTGATTCTGTACAGCCTTGGTCCTGTACGCACACCCGCACCACACCGTGATTCTGTACAGCCTTGGTCCTGGTCCCGTAGGTACACTCACACCACACTGTGATTCTGTACAGCCTTGGTCCTGTACGCACACCCGCACCACACTGTGATTCTGTACAGCCTTGGTCCTGATCCCCTATGCACACCCGCACCACACCGTGATTCTGTACAGCCTTGGTCCTGGTCCGGTAGGTACACCTATACCTCCTTGTGATTCTGTACGTCCTTGGATTTGGTATTGGTCTGGCCTGTCCTCATCTCCCCCATTTCTATGCATGCTTCTGCTTCTCATCTCCAGGTTCTTCTTCTGCTCCGTGGTCTCAGCCTTGGCTGGTATGCTCTGCGCAATGATCATCCTGCTGTATGTCTCCATCAAGCTCTTTACCAACCCCAGTGAGCTCCGCACAGACCCCCTCTATAAAGGTACACCCTGGGGTCTGCTTCCCTGGAGTTCCCAGTATGATAAAAGCATCACCCCCTTCCACTTCTGGGCCTTAGACATAGTGAGTCGGAATCTACAGTGTCAGTGGTAAGTCTGGATCTGAAGTCCCTGAGAGAAGCTAGAAGGTGTCAGTCACTGCTTACTGGGCTCCCTGCAGACTGTGCTTGTGGTACTGACCCTGAGACAGGGACAGCAGCCCAGCTTGCACACTTTAGTAGCTTCGCATGTGCCCAAGACAGACACGGGGCCTGCGTGTGCTGTCTAGACGTAGTCTAGCTGAGCCTCTAGGAAGCGAAGGGTAGAAGAGTGTGCCAACCCTGTTCCTGTGTCACTCCCAGTCAGACCTGAGTGGCCCAGACATGCTGGCCCCGTTCAGACATGCTGAACTCTGGGCCACATGCAGGTGCAAAGTGAGCGAGAGTCTGTCTGTTGGTGCTAGATGTCCGTGGAGAGAAGAGCAGACATCAAGGCTGGTGATGGGGGCTTCAGACTCTGAGGAGCAGTTGGGTGATGCTCCAACTGAATGGTCTAGGAGCCAGGCTGTGGACATATGTCTGTGTCCTTTGTCTGAGAATGGGTCAGTGCACTTCTGACGTGGGGTCCTGAGGTGAGGAGCTCATCTTGGTCTTGGTGCCCAAAATCCAATGACAGTGTGAGAGACAAGAGGAGATACAGACACACAAAGCCACATGGAAGCAGACCTGGAGGCAGAGGCTGGGAGTGAGGTCCACAAACGCTGGAGCTCCTAGAGTGCTCAGAGCTGGAAGAGGCAAGCACCCTCCCCAGAGCATCTGAGCAAGGGTGACCCTGCTCCACCATGAGCTCAGACCTGTACCATCCAGAATGTGGAAGGATGAGGGTGTGTTCTAGAATGTGCTGTGAGGCAAATGTGCTTGTGTGGATCGAGCCCTCTACTCTATCACGCAGCCCCTCAGCAGCTGCACAAATCAGTGCCAAGTGGCACTGTGGTGCTGAGGGCCAGAGCAGATCCTGCTCCAGAAATGCCTCGGGGCGGCGGGGAAGGGGGAGGCTTTCCACCACAGGGGAGGTGGCCGGTCTGAGGAGTGGCCTGGGCTGGCTCTAGGCACCGCCACAGACTCAGAAGGTGGAGGCCACAGCTACGTGGCCACAGGGACCTCAGATGGGGTAGGACACCCCTGCACAGGAGAACACGCCCCGGCTGACTCCCCCTACCCACACACACCTGCACCCTCTGTCCCTCTGCCCAACGGACCATTGGTGCTGTGGTGTGGGCAGGTGCCACTGGATAGACAGATCTCCTTGTCTACACAGAGGTCAGCACTGTGAACACATGGCTGCTGTTCCTGCCGCTGTGCGCTGTGCGGGTGAAGACTCCCGTGGTCCTTTCAGTGCTCACTGTGGTGCTGCCGCTGGTCCTCACCAGCTCCGTGCTGCTCGGACACCTGCTCATCTTCCATTGCTACCTGTGTGCGTACTCACCCGAGTCCTTCCCATGCTCACTAGCCCTGAGTGTGAACTCAGAGTCCTTTCCTGTGCTCACTAGCCCTGAGTGTGAACTCACTGAGTCCTTCCCCTGCTCACTAGCCCTGAGTGTGAACTCAGAGTCCTTTCCTGTGCTCACTAGCCCTGAGTGTGAACTCACTGAGTCCTTCCCCTGCTCACTAGCCCTGAGTGTGAACTCAGAGTCCTTTCCTGTGCTCACTAGCCCTGAGTGTGAACTCACCCGAGTCCTTCCCCGTTCTAACTCTGAGTGTGTACTCACCCACTAGCCCTGAGTGTGAACTCACTGAGTCCTTCCCTGTGCTCACTAGCCCTGTGTGTACTCACTGAGTCCTTCCCGTGCTCACTAGCCCTGAGTGTGAACTCACTGAGTCCTTTCCTGTGCTCACTAGCCCTGAGTGTGAACTCACTGAGTCCTTCCCCTGCTCACTAGCCCTGAGTGTATACTCACCCGAGTCCTTCCCTGTTCTGAGTGTGTACTCACCCACTAGCCCTGAGTGTGTACTCACTGAGTCCTTCCCCATGCTCACTAGCCCTGTGTGCGTACTCACTGAGTCCTTCCCGTGCTCACTAGCCCTGAGTGTGAACTCACTGAGTCCTTCCCGTGCTCACTAGCCCTGAGTGTGTACTCACTGAGTCCTTCCCCTGCTCACTAGCCCTGAGTGTGAACTCACCCGAGTCCTTCCCCGTTCTAACTCTGAGTGTGTACTCACTGAGTCCTTCCCCGTGCTCACTAACCCTGAGTGTGTACTCACCCACTAGCCCTGAGTGTGTACTCACCCACTAGCCCTGAGTGTGAACTCACTGAGTCCTTCCCCGTGATCACTAGCCCTGAGTGTGTACTCACTGAGTCCTTCCCCGTGCTCACTAGCCCTGAGTGTGAACTCACTGAGTCCTTCCCCGTGCTCACTAGCCCTGAGTTGTACTCACCTGAGTCCTTCCCCGTGCTCACTAGCCCTGAGTGTGAACTCACTGAGTCCTTCCCCGTGCTCACTAACCCTGAGTGTGAACTCACTGAGTCCTTCCCCGTGCTCACTAGCCCTGAGTGTGAACTCACTGAGTCCTTCCCCGTGCTCACTAGCCCTGAGTGTGTACTCACCCCATGCTCACTAGCCCTGAGTGTGTACTCACCTGAGTCCTTCCCCGTGATCACTAGCCCTGAGTGTGAACTCACTGAGTCCTTCCCCGTGATCACTAGCCCTGAGTGTGTACTCACTGAGTCCTTCCCCGTGCTCACTAGTCCTGAGTGTGAACTCACTGAGTCCTTCCCCGTGCTCACTAGCCCTGAGTTGTACTCACCTGAGTCCTTCCCCGTGCTCACTAACCCTGAGTGTGAACTCACTGAGTCCTTCCCCGTGCTCACTAGCCCTGAGTGTGAACTCACTGAGTCCTTTCCCGTGCTCACTAGCCCTGAGTGTGTACTCACCCCATGCTCACTAGCCCTGAGTGTGTACTCACCTGAGTCCTTCCCCGTGATCACTAGCCCTGAGTGTGAACTCACTGAGTCCTTCCCCGTGATCACTAGCCCTGAGTGTGTACTCACTGAGTCCTTCCCCGTGCTCACTAGCCCTGAGTGTGAACTCACTGAGTCCTTCCCCGTGCTCACTAACCCTGAGTGTGTACTCACCCCATGCTCACTAGTCCTGAGTGTGTGCTCACTAGCCCTGAGTGTGAACTCACTGAGTCCTTCCCCGTGCTCACTAGCCCTGAGTGTGTACTCACCCCATGCTCACTAGCCCTGAGTTGTACTCACTGAGTCCTTCCCCGTGCTCACTAACCCTGAGTGTGTACTCACCCCATGCTCACTAGTCCTGAGTGTGTGCTCACTAGCCCTGAGTGTGTACTCACCCCATGCTCACTAGTCCTGAGTGTGTGCTCACTAGCCCTGAGTGTGTACTCACTGAGTCCTTCCCCGTGCTCACTAACCCTGAGTGTCTGCTCACTAGTCCTGAGACAGGTAACACTTTAGGTAGCTTTCCCAGAAGGAAGCTAATAAGAAAAAGGACAAACCCCAGGCAAGAAAGATCCATGGGGAGGTCATCAGGTCCAGCTAGAAACTGAACACACATTACAGAGGTCACAGGAAAGTCTTTGAACTATCCAGGCAAAGCAACAGGACTTCTGGGAAAGACCAGGATATTTTGAAAAGGAACTCAAGGAGCTTGGGGAAGATCGCTTGCACCTGTAGTCCCCAGGAAGGTATGTTTTGAAGCCAGTCTGGGCAATAAAGTCTGTAAGGTGCCATCTCCAATGACGTAGAAAAATTCTGGAGGGAGAGAGCCAGCCATCAACAAGAAAGCTGAGTGGTAGTTCAAGGTCCAGACTTCAAGCCAGGTATTGACACTAAAGAGAGAAAAAGGAAGGAGGGGAGCAGAATGAATAGATGGATTTAGAAAGGCATTAAGTAGAAATGGTAACAATGGGCATCAGGAAGCTGATGGACAGGCTGCCCTTACCTGAGTGCCGCTGCAGAGCTTGCATGGTCCAACACCTCCTGTCTGCTGTGGTCAGCCAGCTGGCCTCCCACCTCTTTGGGCATTGCATAACTGGTCAATGGGCCGCTCCTATGGATGCACATTCTGCAGAAAACATGGGGACTCTTTAAAATAGTCAAAGAAAGGGGACCAGGAGAACTAGGAAAGAACAGGATGTGGAAAAGGAGCGGATGGGACCTGGGGCCAGTGGCTCACACCTATAAAACCTAACACTCAGGAGGTGCAGACTTGCAGATCTTGGTTTGAGGCCTTCCTGGGGAATAGTCTGTGAGATTTGTGCTTTCCCTGTAGCCTTGTAGGGGACGGCGCGGGGAAGTCTGGGGCTGCAGGGGCCAGGCCCGCTTCACTGACACCCAAGACCGCAGAGTCCATGAGCAGCACTGCCTTCACGATACGCATTTTTAAACAATACTGCGGCTCCTACTGTCTTGCTTTGTGTATTTGTTTGGAGGCCACTAGGTTACATATTATGGAATAATTCTGAATATTTTCTTTTTAATTTTTTATTACCTTTAAGAAGTTGTACAAAGGGGTACCATGTGACAAAACAGTTTATGAATATAATGCATCTTGATCAATATCACCCTTCAACATTCTCACCCCCTTCCCTCACTTTTCTCAATTTTGTGTATATGCAATGAATTTTTGACTGTGTTCTTCCTCCTTCCTTCATCTACCCCTCTCCCTTTGTTCCCACCCCCTCTTGCATATACCATTTCCTAGTGCTGATTTTGTGGGGCTTTGATCTAGTTTTTCTTCAAAATTATACTATTTGAGCTCTCTGGGATGTCTGTTATACTATTAATTCATTTGTAACCACTTTCCCACCCCAATGTGTTTCATTCCAATTTATAGGTACATTCTATGTTGTTTTCTATTTTCAGCACTTTAGTTAGGAATGGCCCAGTACTTAGAGCAATGGAACTAAAGCTTAGATGTAATTCAGACACCATGTGCCACTCTGCCAGCCCCAAGGCAGGGAGGCTGCCATCCTCTGTCTCCCCTCTTGACTTCCTGGCATCTGTGAGGGCAGGCAAGCCCTCAGGAGTCCTGGGAGGGTGTTCCGGGGGGTGCGGGGGAGGCCAGGCCGGCTTGCCAGGTGACTGTCCTTCCCTGTACTCCTTTTCCCAGTGGCCAAGAAGTTGAGCACATTTGACTACATAATGCAGGCCCGTTTCCAACAGAACACCAGTCCCATGGAGAAGAAGGACCTGTGTGCACAATCAGAGGAAGGCCTTCTCCAGGTGGGTGCGGGGAGAAAGGACCTGTGTGTACAGATGGAGGAAGGATCTGTGTGTACAGATGGAGGAAGGATCTGTGTGTACAGATGGAGGAAGGACCTGTGTGTACAGATGGAGGAAGGACCTGTGTGTACAGATGGAGGAAGGATCTGTGTGTACAGATGGAGGAAGGATCTGTGTACACAGATGGAGGAAGGATCTGTGTGTACAGATGGAGGAAGGATCTGTGTGTACAGATGGAGGAAGGATCTGTGTACACAGATGGAGGAAGGATCTGTGTACACAGATGGAGGAAGGATCTGTGTGTACAGATGGAGGAAGGATCTGTGTACACAGATGGAGGAAGGCCTTCCCCAGGTAGGTACTGGGAACAGGGACTCAACCATGCTGGTACCTCACCGTTTATCCTGGCCTAGATATTTGTGTATAATGTATGAATGTGGTGTGTATATTGTTTAGTGTGGGGGTATTTTTCTATAGTGTGCACTGAGTATGTGTTATGTAAGTGTGCTGCATAGAGGATGTGTAGTGGGTAATATGTGGTATGTGTGTGTACCTGTATGGTATGATGTGTGTATACCTGTGTGATGTGGTGTATGCATGTGTACCTGTGTGGTATATGTGTGCATGTGTATCTGTGTGGTATGGTATGTGTGTGTAACTATATGGTGTGATATATGCATGTGTGTATCTGTGTAATGTGTGTTTGTGTGTGTTGAGTTTACATGTGGTAAGTCTATGTGATGTGTGCATGTTATATGTACATGTAGAGTTCAGTGTATATAAAATGATGTGTATCTCTATGGTGGGTATAGTGTGTGCATGTTATATGTGCATGTAGAGTGCAGTCTGTGTAATATGTGATGTGGGTCTCTGTGGTGGGTGGGTATGATGTGTGCATGTAATATGTACGTGTAGAGTGCAGTCTGTGTAATGTGTGATATGGGTCTGTGTGCCATGTGTTTCTGAACCTGGGGGTCTCCTCAATGCAGGGGGAGGAAATGGGAAGCATGTAGTCCATGGCCTGGGCAGGACCCCCGTGCTGGGGTACCCTATACCTGAGAAACAAAGCTGAGCGTATGTGAGAGTGGCTGGGGAGGAAGGGTCTGTCCCTGGGAGGCCTCATCCCCCTCCTACGCACCCAGGTGCCCCTCCCTCCAATTCTGTCTAACGGAAGGCTTGGTATCGATGGCTTCTCATGTTCTGCATTCTCATTTACCCCACAGGAGAAAACAAGCAGTCCAAAGTCACCTCCGTCTTCATCAAGGTGAGCCATAGCTGGCTGCAGGTGGTTCATCCGTCGGAAAAAGCTAGAATTTCCTCTTAACTCCAAGGTTTTAGAACGCAATTCATCTATTTTAACTGACAGAATGACATAATAGAAACCATGTTTGTTTCTCTTAACGTTATCAACATTTTTCCTATATTGGGGCTTAAAATCAGGACCTGGCGCTGTCCCTTACCTTTTTCGCTTAAGGCTACTCTCTGCTATTTGAGCCACTCTACTTCTAGCTTTCTGCTGGTTAATTTAAGATAAGCAGCTCTTGAATTTTCCTGACAGGGCTGGTTTTAAACTTTGAGCTTCACATTTCAGCCTCCTGAGTAGCTAGAATTACAGGTGTGATCGCTGGTGCCCAGCTAGCATTAACATTTAAAGCCACTCATGTAGCTTGTAATGTAAACTACAAGAAGTCTCCTTCTCTTTTTTACATCTAAACAAAGAGGAGACTATGGTTACTTATTTTCCACACCTCTGTGTGAAGTCCTCACCTGAATGTCCTCTTCTGGTCTCTAATGGCACTTGGTTTAGGACTGGCTCCCGTTGTCTCTTCCAGCTCTGCTCAGCCCTCTGGCACAGCACTTCTGTCCCCTACCATGTTGTCTCTGCGTCTCCGTGCCTGCCCCAGGCATTGGATTTGGGGTTTGCCTTAGTACCATATTGGTTTCATCTCAAGGTCATCCCTAACTGACCTCATCTGTGTTAGTCAGATTTTTATGGCTACAACAAAATGTGTGACTTCTATTTAAGCAATGTAAAGGCAGAAGGAGTTTTTAGTTTACAGTGTCAGTTATTGTGACTAGGGGCAGCCGTGGTGCAGGACCTGGCACTGCAAGGGAGTAAGACACCTTTCAAGCCTTCTCCACCCAGGCGCTGGCAACAGGGACAGGCGTAGAGGTCCAGGGATCTGTGCCTCTGAATCCAGAGTTCCCACTGAGGACTTTGGATGTCACTGCAAGTTCCCGAGTAGAGAAAGGATGCTGGCAGACTCATACTTCAGGGGGTGGTGGTGAATATTTGAGGCAGGCGCAGAGCCACACTTAGGGGACTGAAGGGTGCAGAGAGCAGCTGCCGGTGCTTGGTCTCGGGTTTCCTGGACATGAGTCTCCAGAGCACAGGCCCTCAGCATCACGGCCTACCTCTTTTTTTTTTTTTTGCTGGTCCTGAACTCAGTCTGGGTATTGTCACTAAGCCTCTTTGTTCTAAAGCTAGTGCTCTAGCACTTGAGCCACAGTGCCACTTCTGGCTTTTTCTGAGTAGTTGATTATAGATAAGAATTTCATGGACTTTCCTGGCTGGCTTTGAACTGTGATCCTCAGATCTCAGCCTCTGAGTAGCTAGGATGACAGGTGTGAGCCACTAACGCCTGGCTTACCCTCTTATCCCATTGCTCCATCCACATTCGTGTTTCCTACAAATCAACTGTTTAGCCCATTGAGGCCTAACTCATGCCCCTGCTGAAGCAGGGGGCCCTCACACTCCTCTAGCCATCTTTGCATTGTTCTCCTGGGCATCTCTCCCCAGAAGATACTTTCCCTCCCTCCCTGGTGGCCCCCTGTGTATCCTGTCAGCGCTCCGTGGTGGTCCCCTGACTACCCTGCCACCTCTCCCTGGCAGTCCTGCAGCTCCTCATACCGCTCTGTGACTCCTGTCACCTCTCCTTGGCAGTCTCCCAGTGTGCCCTGTCATCTCTCCCTGATGGTCCCTCTGTTTATCTCCCTGGAAGTCACTCCTGTTGCCTGCTCAACACTCAGCTGACACCCAGAGCTGGTGGTCTCTGAGAGTCTGGGAGAAGATGGAACCAACACTGGTGCTGCTTATTGCAGCCCTCAACAACACAGTACAAGCTCTATCCAAGCCGATGTTGTCGTCTGTCATTTCAGACTACCTAATGGACAGAAGCAAAAGAAGTTGCTGCTGACTTCTCTGTGTTCAGTGCTGTTCCCCAAGACTGCTATCCATCCCAAGAAGTGCTCTTCACAAGCGGTGAGTTGGGTTGGAGAGTCAGGACTTCCCAAAGCAAGGCACCACAGCATCTGGGACAAAGTATGAAAGACTGTATGGGGTCTGTTTGTGCAGCGGTGTTCTGTTTAGTGTGTAGTCTGTGAGTGTGTTTAACGTGGTGTAGTGGTATCTGTGTGCTATGCTGGGTATGTGTGCTATATAATGTGTGCTCTTTAGTATGTAATGTGTGAGCCTATGTAGTATATGTGTGGGGTACTATGTAGTATATGTGTATAGTGAGTATGTACTATGTGACATGTGTGTAAGGAGCATGTACTATGTGAAGTGTGGTGTGCATATACTCTGTGAGGTGTGTGTGTAGTGAGTATGTACTATGTGAGGTGTGTATAATGTGCATGTACTCTGTGAGGTGTGTGTACAGTGAGTATGTACTCTGTGAGGTGTGTATAATGTGCATGTACTCTGTGAGGTGTGTGTACAGTGAGTATGTACTCTGTGAGGTGTGTATAATGTGCATGTACTCTGTGAGGTGTGTGTACAGTGAGTATGTACTCTGTGAGGTGTGTGTATAGTGAGTATGTACTATGTGAGGTGTGTATAATGTGCATGTACTCTGTGAGGTGTGTGTAGTGTGCATGTACTATGTGAGGCTTGTGTGTAGTGAGCATGTACTAGGTGAGGCTTGTGTGTAGTGAGCATGTACTATGTGAGGTGTGTGTGGTGTGCATGTACTATGTGAGGCTTGTATGTAGGGAGCATGTACTATGTGAAGTGTGTGTATAGTGAGCATGTACTATGTGAGGCGTGTGTGTAGCGTGCATGTACTATGTGAGGTGTGTGTAGTGTGCATGTACTCTGTGAGGTGTGTGTGTAGTGTGCATGTACTATGTGAGGCGTGTGTGTAGTGAGCATGTACTATGTGAGGTGTGTGTGGTGTGCATGTACTATGTGAGGTGTGTGTGGTGTGCATGTACTATGTGAGGTGTGTGTGTAGTGTGCATGTACTATGTGAGGTATGTGTAGTGTGCATGTACTCTGTGAGGTGTGTGTGTAGTGTGCATGTACTATGTGAGGCTTGTGTGTAGTGTGCATGTACTACTATGTGAGGCATGTGTGTAGTGTGCATGTACTATGTGAGGTGTGTGTAGTGCGCATGTAGTATGTGAGGCTTGTGTGTAGTGTGCATGTACTCTGTGAGGCATGTGTGTAGTGAGCATGTACTATGTGAGGCTTGTGTATAGTGAGCGTGTACTATGTGAGGTGTGTGTGTAGTGTGCATGTACTATGTGAGGTGTGTGTGTAGTGAGCATGTACTATGTGAGGTGTGTATAATGTGCATGTACTATGTGAGGCTTGTGTATAGTGAGCATGTACTATGTGAGGCTTGTGTGTAGTGTGCATGTACTATGTGAGGTGTGTGTGGTGTGCATGTACTATGTGAGGCTTGTATGTAGGGAGCATGTACTATGTGAAGTGTGTGTATAGTGAGCATGTACTATGTGAGGCGTGTGTGTAGCGTGCATGTACTATGTGAGGTGTGTGTAGTGAGCATGTACTCTGTGAGGTGGGTGTAGTGTGCATGTACTATGTGAGGTGTGTGTAGTGTGCATGACTATGTGAGGTGTGTGTAGTGTACATGTACTATGTGAGGTATGTGTAGTGAGCATGTACTATGTGAGGCGTGTATGTAGTGTGCATGTACTATGTGAGGCTTGTGTGTAGTGTGCATGTACTATGTGAGGCGTGTGTGTAGTGTGCATGTACTATGTGAGGTGTGTGTATAGTGAGCATGTACTATGTGAGGCTTGTGTGTAGTGTGCATGTACTCTGTGAGGCATGTGTGTAGTGAGCATGTACTATGTGAGGCTTGTGTATAGTGAGCATGTACTCTGTGAGGTGTGTGTAGTGTGCATGACTATGTGAGGTGTGTGTAGAGTACATGTACTATGTGAGGTATGTGTAGTGAGCATGTACTATGTGAGGCTTGTATGTAGTGTGCATGTACTATGTGAGGTGTGTGTAGTGTGCATGTACTCTGTGAGGTGTGTGTGGTGTGTGCATGTACTATGTGAGGCTTGTGTGTAATGTGCATGTACTATGTGAGGTGTGTGTGGTGTGCATGTACTATGTGAGGTGTGTGTGTAGTGAGCATGTACTATGTGAGGTGTGTGTGTAGTGAGCATGTACTATGTGAGGTGTGTGTGGTGTGCATGTACTATGTGAGGTGTGTGTGTAGTGTGCATGTACTATGTGAGGTGTGTGTGTGGTGTGCATGTACTATGTGAGGTGTGTGTAGTGAGCATGTACTATGTGAGGTGTGTGTATAGTGAGCATGTACTATGTGAGGCTTGTGTGTAGTGTGCATGACTATGTGAGGTGTGTGTGTAGTGTGCATGTACTATGTGAGGTGTGTGTGTAGTGTGCATGTACTATGTGAGGTGTGTGTAGTGAGCATGTACTATGTGAGGCTTGTGTGTAGTGTGCATGTACTATGTGAGGCGTGTGTGTAGTGAGCATGTACTATGTGAGGCGTGTGTATAGTGAGCATGTACTATGTGAGGCGTGTGTATAGTGAGCATGTACTATGTGAGGCTTGTGTGTAGTGTGCATGTACTATGTGAGGCGTGTGTGTAGTGAGCATGTACTATGTGAGGCGTGTGTGTAGTGAGCATGTACTATGTGAGGCGTGTGTGTAGTGTGCATGTACTATGTGAGGTGTGTGTGTAGTATGCATGTACTATGTGAGGCGTGTGTATAGTGAGCATGTACTATGTGAGGCGTGTGTGTAGTGAGCATGTACTATGTGAGGCGTGTGTGTAGTGTGCATGTACTATGTGAGGTGTGTGTGTAGTGTGCATGTACTATGTGAGGTGTGTGTAGTGAGCATGTACTATGTGAGGCTTGTGTGTAGTGAGCATGTACTATGTGAGGCTTGTGTGTAATGTGCATGTACTATGTGAGGCGTGTGTGTAGTGAGCATGTACTATGTGAGGCGTGTGTATAGTGAGCATGTACTATGTGAGGCTTGTGTGTAGTGTGCATGTACTATGTGAGGCGTGTGTGTAGTGAGCATGTACTATGTGAGGCGTGTGTATAGTGAGCATGTACTATGTGAGGCGTGTGTGTAGTGTGCATGTACTATGTGAGGCGTGTGTGTAGTGTGCATGTACTATGTGAGGCGTGTGTATAGTGAGCATGTACTATGTGAGGCGTGTGTGTAGTGAGCATGTACTATGTGAGGCGTGTGTATAGTGAGCATGTACTATGTGAGGCGTGTGTGTAGTGTGCATGTACTATGTGAGGTGTGTGTGTAGTGTGCATGTACTATGTGAGGTGTGTGTAGTGAGCATGTACTATGTGAGGCTTGTGTGTAGTGAGCATGTACTATGTGAGGCTTGTGTGTAGTGAGCATGTACTATGTGAGGCTTGTGTGTAATGTGCATGTACTATGTGAGGCGTGTGTGTAGTGAGCATGTACTATGTGAGGCGTGTGTGTAGTGAGCATGTACTATGTGAGGCGTGTGTGTAGTGAGCATGTACTATGTGAGGCGTGTGTGTAGTGAGCATGTACTATGTGAGGCGTGTGTGTAGTGAGCATGTACTATGTGAGGCGTGTGTGTAGTGAGCATGTACTATGTGAGGCTTGTGTGTAGTGTGCATGTACTATGTGAGGTGTGTTTGTGGTGTGTATGTACTATGTGAGGTATGTTTGTGGTGAGCATGTACTGTGTGAGGTGTGTAGTGTGCATGTATTCTCTGAGGGGTATGTGTGTGTGCATGTGGTGTGCATGTATTGTGTGAGGCTTGTATATGTTGTGTGCATGTGCTGTGTGAGGTATGTGTGTGTGTACCAAGCAGGTTTGTGCTACCATTTCTGGGGGCTACAGATGACCTAACTTTCTCTGTAGGGGTTGTCATCACTGCAGGCCAGCAGAGCTTCGGAGGGAGAACTCCCCGGGATTGAAACCCACCCACAATAACCCGAGGCTGAGGCTCTCCTGGGTTCTTCCCCTGGACATTTGATGCTGACACATTTGATGGAAACTACTGTGCTCCAGAGGTAAATTGCCAGACTCAGCCCTAACAGTGTCACTGAGTGGCCCTGAGGGTCCTCACTGTCTGCTGTCTGGGCTCCTGCCATCTCTCCGATGCCCCGTCATCTCTCAGAAGCATCCATGACAAGTCACTCAGCCACCCCACCTTAGCCTGCTATACCTCCTGTTCTGGAGCCTTAAAGCAACAGCTCATATCATCTGGAGTCCCAGCTGTATCCCTATAGGCTCCAAAAACCACCAGAGAAGGGCACTTGAATTCAGCCATTGACACCTCAAAGTAGAAGCACACCTGAGAAGTATGGGTCCAGACCCACCTAGAAGCCCGCCCGAGGACTGTGGCTGCAGACTCACTTCCTCAGAGTGGAGAGCTTGGTGTAGATCTGCCAGCCCCAGAGCCGGCCCATCATCATGGTGTGCACAAGTTGCTTCTGTGGATTTTCCTGAGGTCCTGGTGAAGGAACCCTTCATCGTGGGGAAGAGAAGGGTTCAAGGTTGAGCAACCTGAGCACTGCCTGCAGAGAAGGCAGGGAAAAGGAAGTCCATGTCTACAGAGGTCCGGGCTCCCTCCATGGACCCCTGGCGCCACTCCTGCTGAACCAACCTCTTCATCAATAAGGTGGGAGCATGGGCCCAGCCAGGGCTGGGCTGCTAGATGTGGCAGCTCTTAGCAGCCATCACCCTGTCCCCAACAGGATTTAACCTGTTTCTCACATGGCCTCCACATGCCTCAGTGGAGTGTGAGCTTCACAGTCATCAAGGAAGAGAGCTTCATCTAGAAAGAGAACTATCCCAATTGGTTCACCTTGGAGCCATTCTGGCTATGCATGCAATATGACTCCGCCGCTGGAGACCCAACAATGAAGGCTGATCCTGTCACAGTGTGCACCCATGGCTGGCTGGAGTCTGGCACAGCTCTCCCAGCCACCTCCTACCACTGGGGACACCCAGTGTGAGGACCCCGTACCCTCCACGAACAGAGCTACAGCCAGACCAGATCCTAGGGCACCCACACTGCATTGTGCCCTGGGCACGGGTCTAGCTATGCAAACTCTGCAATGGTAAGTCCTTACTCTTAAGGTACTGGTTCTGCAGTGTCTTCCAGGCTCTGTCCACAGACAGCTTCTCCAGAGGCGCTTCCAGACTGTGGAGAGCATGACAAAGGACAGACAAATGTATGAAGCTGATTGTGGCTCACCTAGTTTGAAACTTGCATTCAGGTGGCAGGCCCAGACTCTGCTGCATAACTTGAGTCAGACAGGCCGGGGCCTCGTGTTAGCTGGTCTGGTATGCAGGTCTGTCTGCATGGCTGCCAGTCTTCCCTGTGCTTGCCCTTCATTGTCAAGTTTATCTTGGTAAAGTTATCTGAGACATAATTAATTTTCATTTGGTGATTACAGTTATAGAATGAGACTTGCTGTACTTAGCCAGTGTGGGTGGATTTAAGACTTCATGACCTCAAATTTTGACCCCACCTCATCTTGATTCAAAAACATGAAGACCAAACATGGACAGTCAACATCTCAGTCCAAGTACAGTGATATAATGGAATAGAGGCTCTTAAACCTTGTAGACTGAATTCTGACTCTTTCCAAGTTGGAATATACTTTTAGACTTGAGAGAGAGTTTCTTTTCCAGGTAATTGACACAGATCACTATTACAGGCTAAATGAAACATACGCAATCTGGATTGCCTATAGCAAGTAAGAAACTGAATTGCTCATTTGAAATTCTGATCCAATGAAAATTCTGTCCTGATGACTTCTTCACTTGTGAGATGTTTTTAGGTAATGCTATTTTTATACAGCCTCTTTCAGGAAGTGGGGAAGGAAGAAAAGCAGCCTAACTCATTCTGTTTTAACTAGAGACCTAGGCCCACAGTGTGATTGCAAAAAATGAGTGCTGTATGTCAATGTCAAACCAAATGTAGCTGGGCACTGGCGGCTCACGCCTGTCATCCTAGCTACTCAGGAGGCTGAGATCTGAGGATCACAGTTCAAAGCCAGCCCAGGCAGGAAACTCCGTAATACTCTTATCTCCAATAAATCACTCAGAAAACTGGAAGTGGTGCTGTGGCTCAAGTGGTAGAGCGCTAGCCTTGAGCTGAGGAGCTGAGGACAGCTCCCAGGCTAGAGTTCAAGCCCCACGACCTACAAAAAAACAAAAACAAAAAAAAATGTATAGAGCTCTCACAAGGGGAGGATTGTGAATGTAGCAAAGGGACATGGGAGCCACAACTCAGCGGGCCTTGGGGAAAAGCAAGGGTGAGGAACATGACTCCATGGGCAGACAAATCCATAAGCTTATCTCCAATCAGCCAGCAAAAAGTGAGAGGTGCTGCTATGGTTCAAGTAGCAGAGCAATGGATTTGGCCAATAGAGCTAAGGGCCTGTGCCCCTGAGCTCCAGCTCCAGTGCCAGCCGCCTTTTTCTGTGGCACACACTTAGCCTGCATTTCTCTGCCTCCTCCTTGGATGAGCCCTGTCACTTAACCACAGACTCAGCAGCGTCTATCACTTCGAAGATCCCATGCGCTCCCCCCAAGTGTGTCAATCCTCTGGGACATTGTGAGGTGCAGCCTTGCAAGAAATCAAACCAGTGGCATACAGCTGAGAACATAGTGTCTTTCCTTTCGCCACTCCTCAGGCAATATGAGTTTTAGAAATCTGCAAACACATTGATAGAAACAATAAGGTAGCAAGGTTGTGGTATATAATGTTACGATATAAAACTCAACTATATTTTCATATTCTGACAAGAGTTTTCAAGTAGCATCTCAAAAACTATTCAAAACATCAACAATAGTGAACTTAACAAAATTGGTACAAAATTTGTGCATTGGGATCCAAAACCATGTTGAAGAATTCAACTTAATCTATATTATTGTTAAGTGAGGCATTGTTGATGGATTAGAATATAAAATATTAAGATTGTAAGTTTTTCCCCCAATTGTGTCTGTATGTCCCTGTTGAATATCTTCAGACTTTTTCTTCCAAAGAAGACACTGTTACTAAAATAGAAATGGAAATTCAGAAAATCTAGAGCAGCCATTTTGAAAATAGAGTACCTGCAATAAGGTAGACATAATGACCAATGAACAGAGTAGAAACTACAGAAGTAGTCCACACACTCCTGCTCAGTCATAGAAAACAGATTTGTATGGCAGTTCAGTGGAGAGAAGGAAGACTTTTACACGTTATGGTAATTGGATATCCATATGTCAAACAAAAATGCTTCAGCCCCTAGGTCACACCATACACAAAAACTATCTGAAAATCAATCATAGGCCCAAACTTATAGGGTAAAACTTTAGCACTAGTAGAAAAATCACACAACATCTTCTTTATCTTATGTAAAGTAAGGTTATCTTTGATAGAAAACGGCACTATTAAAGAAGGAACTGATAAACTGCATTTCATCAAAAAATTAATTTGCTATTCAAAAATCAGTTCTTTCTTGGGAAAAAATACAGAATGACTTCCAAAATTTTTTCAAGTCATGAATGTGCACATGCTGCATAAATGGTTCTATTTATTTCCTGCTATGCCCCCACTTTATTTAAGCTATCTAACAGATGAATTATTTTTCTAAATAACGTAAGATAAATATACAGCCATTTTCTGGCAGATAAAATAATTTACTCTGCTTACAAACTCAGGTCGTCAGGGATTTACCTATGGGGAGAGCAGCTATACTAACCCCTGTACAACCGATGTGGTCCCCTTCTTCCTGAATGGAATTGTTTGCTCTCTACCAATGCATCTTGGAAATATTAACCTCTCTTATTTTACAGGGGCTCACAACTGAGTTTTCTTCATCTCAGAAGAGACGTTGAATTTGGATTTTGAACAATGCTGGGTGCGGGGAACTCTAGGAGGTAGACTTCACGCATTGTTCATTACAAGGTGGCCTTCACCACTGGGGACCAGGGCTAGGAGGCTGCGGTTTAAGGATACGTGTTTACATATCAAGGTGTCAAGGAGGGACTTGTGATGGTTAATTTTGTTAACTTGATTGAATTAGAAAAGACTAGATTAATAAAGCTTATCTCTGGAGGTGCCTGTGCTGTCATTTCCGATGACCGGGTAACCGTGGCCTGACCTGGTAAGTGGATCTGCCCCTTGGTGGATTCATAATGCGGTGGAAGCATTAGGTGGTGGAAGGTAGGAAATGGGGCCTCTGTCATTGGAGGTGTGTCCCTGGAGTATCACACCCTGTCCCCTTCCTACATTCTTTCTCTCCGCTTCTTATCTGCAGTGATGAACTGCCACATACAGGCAGGCAGCCACAGATAGAGTCCTCTGAATCTGTGACCCCAAATCTGTCCTCCTTTTGAGTAGTTTTGTCAGGTATTTTATCACAGCAATTCATCCACTACAAAACAAATCCAGCCAGAAGTGCTCACAGTCACAAAGGCTAGAAATGCACATGGGTAAAGGCATGACATGGCCCAGACATACATTTCAGGCTCAACTCTGAACAAAGCTGAAACCAAGCCACCATCAAAAGCAGATATTTGTCTCAGAATGTAGCGTACTCGTGTTTGAACTCAGGGCTACCACATTACTTGAACTGCATCTCCAGCCTAGCTTTTTTGGTGATATTTTGATACTTAGATATTCAAAATATCTAAGTGAACTTTTCTGTCTAGACTGGCCTTGAACCATGATTCTCCAGATCTCAGCCTTCTGAATAGCTAGTATTATATGTGTGTAAATCCTCAAGGTACAACAAGCAGAAAAACACTATTAGCTTTTTGTTGGTCACAGAGTTGTGTCCCTCAGGTAAACCAGCAGGCACTGCTGGGCGGCTGCTGGCTGGCACGCTCATTCTGCCTCCCACTGCAGGCCAGGACTTCCTCAACCCTGGATCAGCTTCAGAACCGTTCACTGTGGCCTGTGGGGTGATGCTCATCTCTGGCACACTGCA